CCGGCCCCCACCGGCCCCGCGAGCCTCAGCGCCGCGTGCGGACGAGGAGCGAGCGCGGGCTTCCGAAGAGACGCGCTGAGGGCCCGACCGGCGCGGCTCCGACAAGACCGGAAGAACCGGGGAGGGGGGCGGGAGAGGGGGTGACGGTCCAAGCCGGCGGACCAGCGGAGGAAGAGGCCTCGCTGACCGGAAGTGCGGCGGAGCCGAAGCGGAAGGGGCGGGGCCGGGGCCGGCGCCCGCGCCCCGGATGTGACATCCGGGGGGGGCGAGGCGTTGGAGTGGGGACGTGGAAGCGCGCGAGGCCCCGGCGTCACGTGGGCGGATCTCCGAGGGCGAGGGGCGGGGCACGTACGGGGGCGCTCCGCAGGAAGGGGCGTGGCCGGCCGTTGCCTAGGAGGGGCGCGTCGTCTTGCTGCTCGCCGGGCTGCGGCGGTGGACGGGTTCCGCTGTGATTTGTCACCGTGAGTACGGAGTTTGGGGGCTCCCCGAGGGACTCTGGAGAGCTCGTTTTGGCGGGGGGCGGGCTGGAAGGGGGGAGTTTACTAATCGCCGGTGGCAGAGAGGTGTCTGGTTTGCAGGACTCAGATTATGATAGTCATGGGAGGAGGCCGCTGAGGCGGAAAGCGCATGTTCTCGGGGTTGAATACAAGGCTAGAATTTCCAGTCCCTGCTCTTTACCTCCCGGCCCCTCTGACCTCAGCCTGGATGCTGAAACCCTGCCTTAGTCTAAAGAGGGCTAACAGTGCTGCCGAAGATAAATACGGATTGCTGCAGGAGTCCATGATCTGGGAAAGGCGTCTAGAAGAGTGGCCCGCACGTGCTCCGCTCTAGTTAAGTTTCGGTTAAATAAAAACAAGCCTCTATTATTGTATACCCCTTATCAGGCTCCTTCCGCCAGTAAGTGGCCAAGTGGCCATTGTGTCTCTCCTACTGATTGATTAGGGAGTGAAGGAGCCAACAACAGCCAAGTTACTAATTTGCCTGTGGTCAACATGGCGTTTCTTTTTTCTTCTTCTTCTGATTTGTTTATTTTGCTCTTATTTCTCGAGACAGGGTTTCCTCGTGTAGTTTTGGTGCCTGTCCTGGATCTCACTCTGTAGACCAGGTTGGCCTCGAACTCTGTGAGATCCGCCTGGCTCTGCCTCTGGGGTGCTGGGATTAAAGGCGTGCGCCACCACCGCCCCGCCAAGATGGCGTTTCTTAAAGGGCACTCAATATATTTTCCGTGTAGCAGTCAGGTGTTTTTTTGTTTTGTTTTCTTTAAAAAAAAAAAAAGAAAAAGGCAGAGGTGGGCTTTAGGCTGCCGAGAATTAGTACCGGGTTTTTATGAGAAAGAAATAGCAGGCAGGTAGGAGTGAGGCCCGGCCTTGAGTGAGCATGCGGTAGGGCCTGTAGAAGAAGAGCCGGAAGTCGACTCCCTGCCCTGGGGCGCCCTGAGCTTCTGCAGTGGCCTAAGGAATGGAGGCCAGAGGTCACAGCCTTAGTTTCATCTAGACTGGGGAGAGACTACACCTGCCTTAGAAACAGAAATATTTTGTTGGTGAGTGAAAGTAAAACTGAATTTGACAGTGAAAAATGTAGGTTCTGTTTTCTGACTGTGATCTTGGGCAGGTAATAGCAACTCTTAAACCAGCCTCTGAGCTGGGAATGTAGCTCACCCGCAGAGCATGTCCGAGGCCCAGCGTTGAATCCTCAGCAGTGTAGGGGTGGGGGGGGAGGCAGGGGGACAGATCACCTTCTTTCTTCATGACAATACAAATAAACAGGAAAGAAGGAATAAGATTAAAAATCTCACTACAGTATGAGGGGTCTGTGAGGGAGGAAAGGGAAAAGGGAAATGATAGAACTATAATCTCAAAAATAAAATAATAAAAAAATCAGTGCAGTATCACTTTTAATCAAAACTGTCACCAAACAGGCAGCATTTTAAAAGTATAACAATGCTAGACGTTGTTGTATGCTGCTTGTGGAAATGTAGAAGGGGGCAACAACTTTGGAGAAAACCTAATATGTAATAGAATGAAAGATACATGTATATTATGTAATATATATCTTTATGGCCTGGCAGTTTCACTTTCCATAATTTTTTTAAAAAGATTTATTTATTTATTTATTTTTTGGTTTTTCGAGACAGGGTTTCTCTGCGTAGCTTTGCGCCTTTCCTGGAGCTCACTTGGTAGCCCAGGCTGGCCTCGAACTCACAGAGATCCGCCTGGCTCTGCCTCCCGAGTGCTGGGATTAAAGGCGTATGCCACCACCGCCCGGCAAAGATTTATTTATTATGTATACAATGTTCTCAGTGTAGTTGATTGTGAGCCTCCATATTGTTGCTGGGAATAGAGCTCAGGACCTCTGGAAGAGCAGCCAGTGCTCTTAACCTCTGAAACTTTATACCATACTGTACATATACCTTAGACTATTTATTTTGAAGTAGTGATTCTCAGAGAATCTTCTGAAGACACCTGGAGGCTTCTGAAAATCTTTCAGAGGATTTGTAGTTGTTTGAGGCTGGATTTTTCATGATGTGTTTCAGTCAAAACATCATATTATAGCAGATTGAAGGATGAATCTAGATTTATAAAATATACAGCAGTGTCTTTCCTGCCTTATAACAGGAGTTTTCTCCAGTTCTGCCCTGGCCCACAGTCAGGACAAATCTCTCTCACCCGCCGTTCCCACAACCGCTCAGACCCAACCAAGTAAACACAGAGACTTATATTGCTCACAAACTGTATGACCACAGCAGGTTTCTTGTTATATAATTTTTTTGTTTATTTGTTTTGTTTTGTTTTTCAAGACAGTTTCTCTGTGTAGCTTTGTGCCTTTCCTGGATCTCGCTCTATAGGTCAGGCTGGCCTCAAACTCACAAAAATCCACCTGCCTCTGCCTCCCAAGTACTGGGATTAAAGGCGTGTGTCACCACCACCCGGCTGTTATCTAATTTTTATATCTTAAATTAACCCATTTCTATAAATCTATACCTTGCCACGGTGGCTCGCGGCTTACCAGTATCTTCTATCTCCCTTGTCATGGCGGCCGCTGGCGTCTGGCAGTGTCTTCTCTGACTCAGCCTTCCACTTCCCAGAATTCTCTTCTCTGCTAGCCCCGCCTATACTTCCTGCCTGGCTACTGACCAGTCAATATTTTATTTATTAATCAATCATAGCAACGTATATTCACAACACACAGGACATCCCACAGCAATCCTCAGAAGAGATTATCCTAAATTTAGAGTGAACCCTAAATGCAGTGAATGGTGACCTGGTAGAAGAGAAGGTTAAAGACACATAGAAGAACATAAAGGCACGCACATAGATTGGAGAGATGTGTGCACAAGCCGGGGAACACCAAAACTTGTCCATAGTCCTCCAGACAGAATGAGTCAATGCTTTCATTTCGGCTGTCAGAAAATAAGTTTATATTATTTTTAAGTCACTGAGTTTGTAGTTTTTTGTTACAAGGTGTAAAAGACATGAACATATTTCTTGAATTTGGTGGATTGTTCTTTAGTAAACTTGTCAAATATCTCATAATTATGAGAATGTCAAATGGATCCAATATTTATCACTTATGCAGACATGGAGGACAACAGTTGATATCCGGTGCCGCTTCCTCTTGCTCTCCAGCAAGAGGGTTTTTTGAAACATGTTATTTAGGATCTCAGACTGGGCTAGATAGGCTGGTTAGCAGGCCCCAGGGCTCTCTCTTCCTGCCTGTCTCCCAGCTCTGGGGTTAGACACAGGCCACCCTTTGGCTTTTCTATGGTTCTGCAGAGCTGAACTTAGCTCCTCATGTGTGTGCAGCATGCACTTTACCAATGGGGCCATCAACCCAGCCCCTTTTCATAATTTCTGGCTTAAGAGACAGACAGACAGACAGGCACGCACGCGAGACAGACGCTTGGAGTCTGAATTCCTAAATCTCTGAGTGTTTCTACAGCCTGTAATTTCCCTACAATATATTTGAAATTAAAAGTGTGATAGGAGAGTGTGACACCCTGATACTGAATAGAGAACAAAGCCACAAGGAAACTCCGACATTGCTTTGTCACACACGTCACGTTTGTCTCAAGGAAGCCATTACTTTTCAGAAGCTACCAACCAATGCCTGAAATGGAAGCTATGGAAGAAAGAGTCCGGGAATCCAGTCAGTTACTGGATGGTTAACTGGTCAGAAAGTATAGTAGACCATGTTGCTCATCTCCCTGTGCAAGTTCCTCAACACAAGATTTGGGGTTACAAGCCTGATGTTTGGGGCCAGTATTTTACATCCACATTTGGAAGGCTTTGTGTAACACAATGGAAATTGAAGGTCATGCCTTTCTTTTCAGAAAACCTCATCGCCCCGACAGCCTGTGACCACCAGGTGGTGCTGTTCACTTTTCAGATTTCTCCGCTGGCCCAGAAGCCGCACTGTCTGCTTTCTGAGGCTCACAGAAGTGACACAGCTGAAACATTTGAGCAGAACTTGCTAAAGACAGCAGACTAACAAAAGGGAGGATGAAGAGTGATTGGTAGTGGACAAAAACCACTAACTGCTTCTAGAGTCGAGTTAAGGATGTAAGCTCTCATTACATGAGGCATGTGATAAGAGCCACAATGTGCGGGGTGCTATGACAGCAGGTCAGAGACAGTAAGTTTGCACTCCTGCTGTACACAGCCTTTGCTGAGTGAAGAGAGTATGTAAGAAAACAGGTTTTTAATAAAGATAGGTAGCGTGATACTGTGAAAAGAAACGGGGACATGAGCATGACATACCAAAGCTGGTTTTCCGTTGTAGTCTGTGGTGATTTACTGTGTTCCCCAATAAAGTTTGCCTGAAGAACAGAACAAGCCACTAGATCAAACAGATGCCAGGCAGTGGTGGCACACACCTGTAATCCCA